CCGGCGGCGGGGACAGCGGGCGAGGACACTGGGGATGGAGAACCGGGGAGGGGACACCGAGAGGGACGCCAGGACTGAGCACCGGGGAGGGCACATTAAGGATGGAAAGGGACACCGGGGTCGGGGCCACTAAGCACCAAGGACCACCCACACCGGAGACACCGGGATGGGGAACACCAGGGGACACTGGGAAAGGGAAGACTGGGAATGGGGTCACTTGGGACGGGGACAGCTGGGAACAGAGCCCAGGGTTAGCCGGGAAGGGACAGCCAAGACACTGTCTCTCTCCCTGGGCAGTGGTGGCCAAGGGCACAGCAGCATCACGGCCACTGCACGAGTTAACCCGGGCATCTGCCGCGGATCCTGGCTCACCACATCCCCATTCCCACAGGGTCGACTCGGTACTCACCATGGCTGCAGCACAGCTCGTCACCTGGGGGATGCTCCTGGCCACCGGGGTCCCCGCCAAAGCCCAGGGGGTGCTGCTGGCAGGGCTGTCCTTCGGTGGGGACCCCTTGCACAGGGGACAGCAGTGGCCAGGCCCATCCCCTGCCTGGGAGGCATCGGGGGAGCCCAGCGGTGCTGGGGCCCCAAGGAGTGAGCGCTGGGGGGTCAAGCACCCCGTGCACTGGTCCCCACATCTGCAGGCAGGGGATGGCACCAGGGCACCCCTGGAGATGGAAACCACTATGACAGGTGCTGATAGCAAGATCTGGAGGGACGGCAGCACAGTCCCAGCTGTGACAGAGGAGCCGCTTGTTGCCTGGCGAGGGCACGAAGCTGAAGTCCAGGACAGGCCCCTGCCCCACGGCTCTGCACTGGGTACGCCGGGCCCTGAGGTGCCCACGGACAGAGGGGCAGACTCTTCAGGGCCACCCTGGGCCGGGCAGGGCCTCTCCCTGTCCAGGGACAGTGTCTCCAAGACAGCCAGCACCCCCAGCCCTCAGCCAGCCGCACCCACCACTGCCCTGGACCCCACGCTGACGGCAGGGATGAGGACAGCAGATGCCCACGCAGGGGGACACACAGCGGTCCCGGGCCTCTCTCAGGATGCCAAACTCACTTCAGCCAGCAGCCAGTCGGTCCCACCCGGCACAGCCCCTGTCTCTGA